TTGTCTAGACTTGTTTAGTTCAAAATTTAGTCTATTACGCAAATGGTCAATTGTCCTTTGTCTTTTCTAATTAGTTCCACCCAAGAAATCACAACACAAAGAAAAATTCCGCTCCGCGCGAAAAATTCCGAGAAATTTGAAAACAGAGGAGTTAATTATTTTTAATAGTATTTGTAATTCTTGTAAATAGCAGAGAACGCACAAATGAAATCGAATACTTTAAAATAAAATGTACAAATTAATAGACCCATCACAAGTGTTATCCAAGAAGGAAATATGAACGTGGAAGAGTACATTTCATTTAGTTCATATATTAGATTTTATATAAGTGTTTCAGTAAGTGTTAGGTGCAGTACATCGTGGTGAACTTCAAAATGTTGACATTTATAGGAGAAAATTCAACTACTTTCTGTTCGTTGACCACCCAGGGCTTGAAATTTGTAATATGAACTGTATCCCAATATCCTATGCCAGATCTTAATTTGGATAGTACTAAACATCAAAAGCTCAGAATCCATTTGGGATGGTAAACAAATGTCTCAGAGTTCTCTCTCAAAGAAGGGCAACCAATATTGAATTTTGAACTATACTTCAATGTTTTGATACTAAGAATATCTATTATCCAAATGTAGGGATACTAGATTTTCTGGGTGGATACCAGATTGACAATTTCAAGCCCTGACCATTTGGGTAAACCAACCAACAGCGGTGTTCGTGACGCTTCTTGGAAATACAGTAAAGCTTGGTGTTCTTGGTTTATACTGTAGTTTGAGTTAAGAATGCTCCAGCTGGAATCACTGCCATTATAATCTTTCACCACAAACCCACGTAAATCAGTATAACCAAAGGCATAACATAATTATAATAGCCTAATATTATATAATAAATTATCTTTAAAACTCAAAATTTTTATATGTTATAAGTTAACATGTACATCTATGATCGTATATTGCAACACAACATTATGCACTTTTCTCTTTCTTGAAGCGGCTTTCAATCTTCGACTTGACCCTGGATAGAATGAAGAAGTTAGTAAGTGTACACAAGACAACAACATCAGGGCTTTCAGGCCACAAAAGCTTGAATTCAGCTTGACACTCAATCATCTCATTAAAAATTTAAGTGGAGTAAAAATGACCTTGTTCGAGTTGAAATTTGCGACATGGAAATAATTTTTCCTGTTGGAAACCCAACAGAGTGGGAAAAGAACGAACATATACCACCTGCAATATTCAAATCACAACAAAAACTCAAAGCAATTTTGAGATGTCCTCTAAAGGCACGTAAAGCCTAAAATCGTCACACTTCCAGGGCCTTCACCCCAGGACCCTCCAATCTGCCCCCAAACTCAATCTTCTCTGCAAAAATGGATCCAAGTGAAAAATTTTGGAAATGAGATTTTTTAAAAGTGATTAAAATAGACAAAGACTCACGTTTTGACAATCTCATCTGTCTTCTTGCAAACTTTGCATAGAAATTGGTCAACTTGTTTCTGTGAAAATAAAAAATCCAGTTAATATAGAAAATATCATGGCATTTAAAATTCTGTAACTGTAAGTAATATTAGTTGTAAGTGCGGTTTACACAATACACCCTTCTGGAAAGTATGTCACTTTAGCTATAGATCCTCGTTTGTGGATGCTTGGGTCTATCTAATGTCACATACAGGAAAACGAGGCTCTATAGCCAATGAAAGCAATGTATAAACTTCTGGAAGGGTGTATTGAAAATACAAATACCTGGTGATCTTCATACAGTCGTGGTACAGAGAAAACCAAGAGAGTACCTAAAATATAAAGAAAGTTTAAATAAAGAAATATTCTTCAAACTTCATTAAAACAATGGTATAATGTAGGTATACAGTAGTATGTTTCATAATTATAATACCAAATGAATATACCCTTACCAATGATCAACAAAGTGATGGCACTGAACCACTTCCCAATACATGACAAGAACCAAAGAAACATACCAAACTGGGAGAAAAGGAATACAAGTTAATTGTTACATCTGTATGATGTCTCAATTTTGCCAACAACAGACATCTTTACCTTTAACGAAGCCACAAAATCCTCCACAAGGAAAAGTTTTGTGAGTTTAGCGATAGTACAGTTCACTTTGCATCCGATACACTCTCCAATTTCTCTTGCCTTCTCAGGTGAAATTGAAATATTCTTTTCAAGAAGAGCCCTATATTAATTTATAAAAGCAGAATAAATAGTTCCTTTTGGGAATGATACCCAACAAGATTGCCTAAAATGTTTGAAACTGTTCCTCCTAGAGGTCTGACAAGGGTTTTATTGGGTTAGTGTTACTACACGAGGAGTATCAAGAAGAAACCTGTGGTATTTAGTGGGTCGTCTTACAAAAAATTCCTATGGGAATCCAAATTTCCTATAAGAATTCCAATTCCTATAGGAAGTTTGGATTCCTATTGGAATTTCTATAGGAATAGAATTTCCTATAAGAAATCTTATGTATAGGAATTCCTATTCCAGGAATAGTCCGAAATTCCTATAGGAATTTTTCATAAGGGGATCATAATAGAACCACTGTTTGTAACCTTGGGAATTCTGACTGCAAGTACGGAATGCTAGAGAAATTCGTAACTATATCCCAAATCCACATACTTGTATGGGCTTCCTGTGCCAGTCTTTTGTACTGCCCCAATCACTGTCATTCCAATGCGATACAGCAATGACACGGTGAGTAGCGACAGTGCGAAGAATGAGACAACACTGAGTACTGTGTGATATGCCAGGAATAATAATATTAATAATATTGTTCCAAACACCACTGCAGTCTTCTTGATGTCTCGCCAGTAGATCAAGTCAATCACTGAACAGAAATTGAGAATAAGTAATTTTTCAGATCACTGATATTTCACATTTGATAAAACCATGATGTTCTGGTCTTGCAGTATGACGTATCATCAAAAATAATCGTCCATTTTGGGTGGCAAAATATTCATTCAACCAACTACTACACAGACAGCTGTGGACCATTAGGGGCAGACCATTAGAAAAGTGATGGGTGGGGAAAAAGCAAAAATAAAAATCGAGCAGGGAAACGGAAAGAAAAAATATTTGTGCACCAAAAAAGTTTGAAAAAAAAATTCGTGCAGAGACTTTTCAATAAGGAAAATTATTAGTTCAAATAAAAAAAAATTTGTGCAAGGGATTATATTTAAAAAAGTTATCGACACAAGCAAAAAATTAAAAAAAAAATTGTACAAGTTGAAAAAGTCCCCCCCCCCCCATCACTTTTCTAATGGTCCGCCCCTTAGAACTTTTCAAAGTTCTCAAACAAAAGAAACAGCCTCAGTCAGTGCCATGTTGTCTTGCTTTGATGTCATGTTGGCTTTTAATTAACTATTTTTAATTTGCCACCCAAAATGGCAGAGTTAAAAATTTGTGTTGTGACATGACTTGCAAAAGTCTAATGTACAAGCTGAGTGGTATTTTAAAGCACCCAGTATTGCTGCAGACAGTGTTACCTCGTTGATCAATTTCATGATTTATCATCCACACTGCAAGACGGCTGGTTAGCGTGCCTAAAATAAGTGTATGCATAAGTATGTGGTGTTTACAGTGATGATAGAATACCAATCCAGTGTTCTTGTTTCGTCAAACACAAGCCGTAGCCTGTTCTGCATTATGCAACATTTTTGGGGACACATATTGATTGAGACTTTCGGAAACAGTATGTTCTACACAAGTGTCAAAGACAACAAAAAACCAAACAGAAATGGGAAACTTTCAAGCTTTACAAAGCAGTTTTATTACTTGACAGTTTTATTTATATTCACTAGTGTCCAGTAAATAAAAGTAATGTCCACCGCTCAGAGCAGAGACAGCCAAATTTTCATGGCTTTCACATGATACACTTTCGTGCATGAAAACATGAACTTTGACACTTTGTATATAATAATTTATTTCCAACATGAATATGCATGCCACATTGCAAAACATTAAACATATATCTTCAGATAGTTTGACAGAATTTACCAAGTAAATTCTTGTCCAAAATTGCATAACCCATTTATAAACAAACAGAACTTTTAATACTGTATTAACGACTAATATTTTTTTATAAGAAAACTGATTTAAAGGGTCCACTGTTATAATAGCTTTATAAATATATAAATAAACTTTAAGCTGTTCCTAATTTTGAAAACAACGCGCTCAAAAATGTACAGATTTTTGTACAATGAAGCATAAAATTTGGACATATCGACACCGCAGGGAAACCTGATATGACAGTGATAAAATTTTCAATATTTGGCTGTCAAAATATATTTCTTTCTGCGCCTCATTTATCCCCAAAACATTTAGACACCTGTATGGAAAATTCAGCATTTATAGTAATAAATAAATAATTTGTTTTGAGACGACATAAACTTGGGCGTTCAGACCTGGGCTAGGCGAAGCGGATTTTTCTTCCAACGAATGCTCGTCCGTTTCCAATTTTTCCCCGTCGGTTTGGTCTTCTTTTGAGGTTGAAGAAACAACGTTTTCATCTGTGTCTTCTACTGTGGATGTTGGTTCGTTTGATTCTGGGCTGGGGTTCATTTCTTGTCCTCCAACCGAGCTCTCGATTTCAGCTTCATTTGGCAATCTCGACTGCTGTTCCACGTTTAAATTACCCTCTTCCATTACACTGAACTGCTTCGTTTACAACGTAAAGACAAATGCTACAGCTTCAACGAATGCACTGCAGTAAAGCAGAAAGAAAGCTGAAATGCGAATCAATAACCGCAAATTTTAAAATTTAAACTGAGATGTGAACTAAATTTGGAAAAATTGCTGACTGCTAAATTCTAGCCAATCAGAGAGCCCGTGCAGGTTCGCGCCAGATCCCGCAATAAAAACCTCGCGGCTGCAACTCTAGTGAAATAATGAGCAGGTTTGCGCAATCTCAATAGCGCAATATATTCCTTTAATTATTAAAAGTCATTTTCTACTGGTATACAGTATGGAAGTACTACCACTAAACAGTTAATTGCAACTAAATTGAGGATCCTTTTGATCAAATGCACTAACAACGTGCTTGCGTCATATGAATAATTGTAAGTGACATTTATATATGTAAATTACAGCCTTAACAACCTTTGGGATATACTAGTTCAATGGCTTTGATTTCAATTCCACCATGGTCAGATAAACTTTTCAGCTTGCCCGGTGTGGATACTCAGAGTAACATCACAAACATTATATTCACCTGAGTACATAATACCAACACACACAAAAAGTATCAATATCACCAACTTGATGTGATATTTTAGAAATTCCTAAAAGTTGACAAAAGTGGAAGCCATTGCATGAGCTGTATTATAACAGTTCACTGATTACAAAAATGTAATCCATTGAAAATAAGTAGTTTTCATTGCCAGCAAGCAAATTTGGGAACTGTCTATTGGCTGATTGAAATCGTAGTATGAAATGTTTAGTGGAACTCACACATGCAACTATACCATAAATATGGTCATAAATACAGGGGGCTTATGTATCGACAACATTTGATGTTAGTATTAATATTTATTGTATGTGTAAACTATACCATGAACAAAAAGAAATACAAGCATACAACCTCATACCTAGGACAGACATACAGTGTATAATCTTATACATTACAATACTGTAATGTAATTTTTGTTGGAATCGCCGTCGCTGTGCTAGTTAACTAACAGGCTTAGACACGGAGGGGCTTATATTCAGGGGGTTTATATTTGGAATGGCCTGAGTGTTAGTGAATATGGTGGGCTTATACCAGGGAGCTTATACCAGGGGGGGGAGGTGTCAGGGGTTATATTCAGAGGTTTATGGCATATTACTTTCCAACGTTTCACATATCCTAGCTGAATCATACTGACATCACCTAGTTGGCCATCCTTTTTTAGGCTTTATAGCCAAAGTTCCAGAAGGGTATATTCTGTATGCAATGCAAGAATATACACTATGTGCAAAATTTTAGACAGTTTATATCCAGGCCCAAGGAAGTTAATAATTATTAATAGGATTCATATAAAACAAATACGAAAGCTCGAAATTAAATTAAATTCGGGCTGCGAGCAGGCTAGCCAAACCACAGGGGGTCCAACTAACAGCTGTGTTATGAATAAAACATAAACGTAATATGAATAAAACATCATAACGTAATATTGCACTTACTTGTATAAATCATAAGAGCTTGCATTTTAATACAGTGAATAGCTTCAAAAACTTGCTTCGTTCCAAAGACTTCAAATATGGCGAATAAATTGACAAAACGATAATATTACATGACGTTCCAACGAAAATAACAGAAAGGATTGCGGGCGCGAGCGGAAGGCGAGGGTAATATCACAGAAGGGATGAAACACCGGTGTCACAGTGATATGAGTATCCCCGTGTTTTGTGTATCCCCTACTGGTATCACTAGGGATATGTGTATCCCCATGCTCACCTCACTAGGGATATGTGTATCCCCGGCAATATGGCGGTCGTGTTCTGCGTACTCCTAAAGCCTAGTTCTCATTCATCGCAAACTGTCACCGACGATCGGCGACGCTTATCGCCGATACTCGCCGAGCGCGAATGCACGAAAGTTCTCATACATCAGTGATCGTCGCAGATGACAGCCGATGTGTTTCGAAATTTCCCACCAAAACACAAAATGGCCCCATTCAATGCAAAGTTCACGATTTCTGTCAAACTTCAGTTGATTATTTCCTTGCTTGTTGAGGAAAAACAACTTTTACTCATTTCTCATAGATTTTTCAAGCAGGTGGCAGTCGGCGATGGTCGCAAGAAACAAACTTTTTTGTTTCCTGCGATGTCATCGCCGATGGTCGGCGACGATTACGGACAATCGGCGATATAATTTTTGATGCGTTCTCATAAATCGCAAGCCGTCGCCGACGTCGCAAAGCTCCCATCGCCGACGGTTTACGATGAATGAGAACTAGGCTTAAAGAACCACCCTACATTCCCACATCACTAGGGATACAAGTATCCCTAACATTTCGCGGGAAATAAAACATGCAGAACTGCACATACAAGCTTGAAAATAACACTCTAAATAGTGTGTTGGATTGTGTTTCGAACAAGACTAATACCAAAAAGATATGTTGAAAGGGGCCGAAGTTATATTCGGCGAAAGGTATGGCTTAGTGATGCATTGTTTACATTATTCGAGTTTATTGTATATATATAGTATGGTATGGTTAGTTTACATTGTTCAAGTATGCATAGTTTATAATTTATGGCTATTTTATATTGTTCGATTTCATAGAACTTTTCAAGCGGATTTTTTTGGTACTTTCGTATTTCTACTGCAAATACTCGCGGAGTTCAGTAATATTTAAACTTCCTGTCATATACGTCGGAAATCACCCAAGTAATACGGAGCCATACGAGTTAATGTTAAGAGTAATGTATCGATCAATTCGAAACTTCACCATCCCCCCCCCGGGCATACCCCGGGAATTTGACTTCAAGTCTTCTCCAGGGAGTAGGGAATTTGACGTTCTAAGTCTTCCATGTGGTGGGGCATTTGATAACGGGGTGGGGAAGTTGAACCGGAAGTCTTAAAATGTTGCCCGTTTTCGCGTGCTTCCTGCATGCACAGAAAATACTTCGTATTGGCGGCAAATACAGTTTTCTCAGATTTCGAGGGAAACGGCCTCAATTTTGTGAAAAACCTGGCTCAAAGAAACGGGCATGGAAAATCTATGTGTTTCATTTGAAGGTATGTACTACATAACGTGTAAAACTGTTAAATTT